TTTTAAAAAATAAACTTTTCCTTTGGAAAGTAAAATATTTTGAAATGTTTCCATGTTTTCTGTACCTGCATGTTTCACAGAGAATGTGACAGTGCCTATTGTGGTGATGCTACATTTAGCCTGATTCTGCTTCTTTTGGTCTCATTAATTGTATTCCTATATGAATATCTGATTCTGCATTCTGTCTTGGTAGAATTAATTCTATAAATCCTATGAGTGGTTGTTTTTTAAAGCGGTGAATAAAAAGTTTTGCTATACTTCATTAAAGAAACTCTCTTGCTTCTGGGAAGAAATATTCTGTTGTTAGTAACTTGCCCCTTTGACTTTTCAAAGTGTTTTGCTGTATTTCTGCCTGACATTTTTTTAAAAAGTAGCAATGTCGGTAATAATAATGGATCAAAGGCAATCTGTTTACAATGAGTTTTATTTTCTTTTACATGAAAATGCTGCATTTCCAAACAATAAGGAACTTATTTATCTTTCAGTTGATTTTTTTAAAAAAGAAATCTGAACTAATTGCAGTAAAAAAAAACCAGATCAATGAAAATTCTGTTATCAAGGGTAGGTATGGTGGGAAGATAATTGGCAAAGATTGGTGTGGTATGTGAAATAAATTATTGCATCAAACAATGAAACCTTAATGAGTTGCATTTAAAGGCAAGTACAAATTTGTATTGCTTATTTTTTTTAAGAGGAATAAATGAATAACTAAATGAAAGTACTCTTGAATTCTGAAGACCTCTGCTCCTTGATATCCACATGGCCTTAGTGGGAGGGTCAACTTAACAGACACGTTCTTTATTACCTCTTCATTCATTTGATACTCTGCCATATTGAGCAACTGTTTTCTCCATTCTTTCCCTTTAATGAATGTGGGGAAGGAAGGGTCAACAATTTCCTTGTACTATATATGCCATTCATTGTACCATTACATCATTGTGAAGGCTGCCAGCAGGAACCTTCAAATTATATCTACCATGAAGGAGTGGGAGGGAATCAAACATAAGAAAATCACAACATTTTTGGGTAGGATTTGAGTTAGTGAGAATCTACAGTCTGATATGTTATGGGCGAAGAATTCTGATATCCACCTACCGGTACTAGTTTGTTTCAACTTTGCAGACTAAACACCTTCTGGGCATCAACAAAATATGCCTTGAAAACCTACCTGGACCTGAATTCAAGCTGTTTTGTGACCCTTATTCTGTATTTTCTTTCTGCTATCAGAGATAAATATTCTTTTGCTTCATAATGATAAACTCTAGAACTTCTTCCCAATATGAGATTTGTCCAAAGAACATGGATTTTTATTGTTGCAAGTGCATTAACATGCTTTAAAAGAAAATACAAAAAAAAAAAAAAATCAGCCTAGGGAAGGACTGATGATTGTGATGACAGCAACAAGTTTCAATGAACATTGTATCCCTTTCCTTCTCTATTTGTCCTCTGAAGTTAGCATTTGCATTGGGAGTTGTCTAAAATATGGAAGTTCAAGGGACATGAATTAATTTCATTCCATATGCATAAATTAGCTTCAGAAAATGGGTGGTTTTTTTTCTTAATTCTGCAGCAAGGGAGGAAAAGGTGAAACTTCATTCCCATGAGCACTGACAACTTAGCAATGATTAAAGTGTATATTTTTAAGAATTATTTTAAAAAATTAAGATATTGTACATTAATGTGTTCTTCCTTTGCAATGAGCTTCTAACTGCTGATTATTAAGTTCCCATCTGTTTTCCTCCTTTGAGGTGATTTTAGTGACAGCAACACTGCAATTGCAGTTGTTAACAAAGAGATGTTGGATGAAAATAATGGCTCTTGGTTTTGAGCCTTGGGAGACCAAGATGGTTACCTCTATCCTTACTGAGTGAAAAATAGAGCCTACCCAAATGTGAAGGAGTCATGAAGATTCATGAACCTTGATCCTATGTCTACCTCACCTCCAATACCACTGCAGCCCATAGGTATTGATAGGTAGAGAATAGCAACAGTTCTTGATGCTCTCTGAGCTTGGCTGTTTTCTTGCAGATGCTTCATAGCAAAATTACAATAACAATGGGCCCTGTTTATTTAATTCATCCTTGGATCCTGGAAGTGAACAGCAAACCCATTTGGAATTGGCCCCGCAAGTGGCGGGGTTGGTTAAATGCCCCTGTCTCAAAATGATCAGAGAAAAAGACTGTAATCAAGGTGAAGTTGAGTTCTCTAGATCTTCTGAATTGTTTATACTGATGTATTATTCTTAGATATGCTTTCATTCCCAGATTCTAGTCTATGCATGATTATGATAAGCAAATGTCAATAATATTGAATTTGGTAACCTAGTATTTTTTAACTTTTAATTAAATAAATGTAAAAATGTGATTGAAAAATAGTATCTACACACCTTGCTCCTGTACCCAAATTCTGTGTCCTCAGGTTTAATTTATCAATAATGTTTTGTTCTGTACTTGTTTCATAATTTACATTCCTCATAATGTGCAGTTAATGGAAATAGCAAGAGTATCCTTAATATAGGGGAGTCACCATTTGGGGGAGACCCCATTCCTGTATAAGTGGTGGAGTATCTGCCTAGCAGTCCTTCCAGAAAATATTTAGAGGGTTTAGTTATCTGTGTGATTTTATTTTTTTAAGAGAAAAGGTGCTGTACTTATAATAATTGTGGTTCATAAAGTTGTGTGGAGTTTGTTATGACAGTTGATAAATTCAATGTGGAAATATTCTGTGGACAGTTGTTTTGAGCACCATCCTATCATCGCTTATGTTGAAAGAATAGATTTCCATCTCCATTTCAAGAAAAAAGAATCAAAAGATGGGTGGGTGGGATTCCCTAAACTGGCTGTGAATGGAGATGGAGCAAATATATTGTGATGAAGCAGAAGTATTGTGATACAATGACTCTTTATTCTTTGAATATGTACAGTTTAGTCTATAGTCATGTAGTTAGCAATGCGTCTAATTTGTCCGGGGGAGGGGGGAGGATGGAGGCTTTACATAAAAACAGGGATAAATACTGTAATGTTGCTTGATTTACTCCACACTTGTTTCCTAGGTGTACACCCAATATTATTACATATATCCCTCAAGGTGCAACACAACAAGCAGTTGGGTTCCTGGTCCTTTTTGGCTAGAGAGAAAAAGCAAGTACTTAAGTCTGTAGAATTTTGTAAGACTGATGATAAGAGAAGCATCCCAGTGACCACTAGAGTTAGAACCGAGGCAGTGGTTCATGAGCTTTGCAGCCTCAGCTCCTCTTACAGAGGTCCTGATTCCACCCTTTCAAGTATTACGAAGTGTGACCAAATATGGTGGAATCCTCTTCTAAAGAGATCCTGATTTTGACATGAGGGCACCTATAAGCAATTATAGAAGGGACATTGCTAAGACACTGAGTTTCTTGATCAGAAAGGTTGGCAGTTTGGCGGTTAGAATCCCTAGCACTGCGTAACAGAGTGAGCTCCCATTACTTGTCCTAGCTTCTGCCAACCTAGCAGTTCGAAAGCATGTAAAAAATGCAAGCAGAAAAATAGGAACCACCTTTGGTGGGAAGGTAACAGCGTTCCGTGTGCCTTCATTGTTTAGTCATGTTGGCCACATGACCACGGAGACGTCTTCAGACAGTGCTGGCTCTTTGGCTTTGAAACAGAGATGAGTACCACCTCCTAGAGTTGAGAACGACTAGCGAGGGGAACCTTTACCTTTAAGCAATTATATTACCTGCTTCCTTAAAGAGGAATCAGTTCCCTCCAAGTCACCTGTGCAGTAGAGTTGTCCTTTGGGAAGTCTCCTTTTTCTCTACTTGATGATTGCTGTTGACTCCTCCAGTCTTAAAGATGCAGTATTAATGCAGACTAATCATGGGGGGGGGGGGGGATAAATCATGTTCATTGATCTTACTAAGTTTCCCTTGCCCCCAAAATCTGTGCTGTGCACTTCCACATTTCCCTTCGTCCATTTGCTTACCCAAAGAATTGTGTCACATATTTTTCAACCAGGTCATGGCAGAAAGGGCAGGGAAAAACAGAATGAAATAACATAAGTCCACTTTTACCATTTTATTTTGACTGGGATATTGTAAAAACTGAATGTGCAATTAAAATCAATCCATTTTTATTCAGATTTGATTTATTTATTAAATCGATTTATAGGCCGCCCAATCCCGGAGGACTCCAGATCTCACCCTAATTGGGTACATGCCATTTTAGAATAGTTCTGGAATTCCTTCTGTTGGATGGGTGGCGTGCTCTGCTCTTGGCACCATCTGATGCTTCTTTTCCCCTCTTCTAATGGAAAAGGTTACTCCTTTTTCAGGTCCTGCACAATGAAACTAAATCACCAACTGTGAACCCAACTGGCTTCTCTCCTCTTCTCCTGTCATCCTCCTCTACATATCTCAATTGTCATCTTCCACTGCTTTTTATTTAACTTATTGCTTTTCATTAACATCAGCCAGGTGGTGAATAGTGGAATTTTCATACAATTCTGCATTCCGGTGTTATTTTTATAAACTGGCTTGGGCAACATCTTGGGAGATGGAAGACTATGTTGAAGTGTCTACTTCGGTGGCTTACAGCTGAGAATTGGGGGGGGGGGAGGGGAGTGAACAGGATTTGAGTTTTCATCAGAGGTCATAGTTCTATTTCTGAGCTGTGTGGCTTTGATAGTTCACCTAACCATAACTTAGCCTTCCACAATGTTCACCTTTGAGATATGTTGGACTATAACTCCCATAATCCCAAGGTGCAAGATGATGCATTTCCAATGCACCAGATTAAGGAACACTCTTCAGCAAATGTTTTGAGGGGAGGGAACATGGGAACAGATAACATTTACTCAATGCATTCCAACTTGTAATTTTCCATTTTATTTACATCACCAGCACTGAGATGAGATACATTTTTTTGTCTTCTATTCTACTTCTGTATATGCTGTTTTTTTGCTTTGTAGTAACACAGGTTGGTGCGTCCCAGGGACATAACATGTGTCCAGATCCTGGGATTCCAGATCGGGGCAAAAGAATAGGCAATGATTTCAGGTAAGCGTCTTTTTTTTCTTTCCTTCTTTTCATGCTTCATGCTTATATGTGGAGCTACAGCCCTCATTTCAGCCAACACAGGTGTGAAGGTTGGCAGTAAGTTTTAGAAGGAAAGGGGGTGTTGGACAAATCCATCCACTATCCATAGTGTTTGTCAGAGCACCGTCATTTCATTGAACCTGCATTATTAGAGGCAGTTGACAATTCCATCAGATAACAATTGGGTAAGACGAGGGGATGATTAATGAAGGCTACAGTGCCCTGTTCCAAGATTTTCACAGAAGCAGCTGGCTGTCCATTGTCAAAAGCAGGATGCTTGCATCCTGAAGCTTTGATTTAATCAGCAAGGCTTTTATGTTCTTAAGAAATAAAACAGCCTGCCTATGATGCACCATTCTGATGTCATAATATCCTCTTGTGTCTCTGTGTGTTCTCTCTGGGAGTGAACTTTTTAAAGAGCCATCTCATGCACAAAAGGGAAGGGAAAGGAAAGATAGAGAAAGAAAGGGAAGAAAAGAAAAAAGGAAAGTGGAGAAGAAGAAAGGGACAACAATTTGAAAATGTATTTTCAAGTTACTTTTCAGTATTTTCAACCAAGATTATTATTTTTTTATTTTGCACGTAAAGTAGATGGCTCTTAATCCATTTTACCCATGCCATTTCAGTTCTGTTTATTGGAAAGCAAAATTGGTTGATCTTGGCTGCATTTAACTTCCAAGGTGTCATGTTTAAGATAACAGCTTAGACCTCGGTTCACGTTGGCAAGAGTCCATACTAAGGTATGACTCTAACATTCATCACTTGCTGTGTCAATATGAACATTTTCTGGTGTAACATCACTTGGTCTATATCAGCTTTGGTATGAAATGATCGGTGAGCTGCTAGAGTCCATTCATCTTGCAAGAACATCAGAAGTTGAGAAGACAGATGTGTTAAAGGAGTGTTGGTCTTTCATCAACTCTGTGGCATGTCCCATCTACTGTGATTCTGGGATGTATAATTTGTGATTTTTTTTTGAGTGCTCTGGATTGTTGGGAGTCAAAATATTTATTCTTTATTATATTGAGAAGATTAAGGGGCAAAATAATTGCCTTAAAACTTGTATAGTCATAAAATACCAATTTCATCCCTTTAGATATATATATATAAAATCCAGCACCATAAATAGGGCTATTTTTCACCATTGGGGGTGGGTTTAGGGGGCAAAATGGATACCTTATGTCAGGGGTTTCCAAACTTGGGAACTTTAAGACTTGTGGACTTCAACTCCCAGAGTTCCCCAGCCAGCCTGGGGAATTCTGGGAATTGGTCCAGGTTCCCAAGTTTGGACACCCCTGTCTTATGTCTTGCACCCATTTCATTACCTTAATTCTCTATGCACTCAAATGGCCTAAAAAATGGGCTCCACCAGATGATTGATGTCACAATGTTTCTGTTGAAAGCCAGGAAAGTCAAAACCAAATCTTCAGTCACAAGCAAGTTGCCTATTCTTGACTTAATTATAAAATGGTGTCATGGGAGACTGATTATTATTTCTATTTCTTTCTATTTCATTTCTTTTAATTAGGGTAATAATGTGGCAATTCTTGAGGAATCTTCCACTCTGATTTGTTTTCCAAATGTGTCTACAATTTGTAGAAGATTTGTAAACATGTTGTAGCCAGGATTCCCATGTTCTGTTGTTGCATTTCATGTACAGTGCTGTAATTCTGATTAACCATACACACTAAAATGTGATTTTCATTTCCGCATGAAAGGAAGTCCATTGGGCATGTTAGTCAACTGTTGACAATGTGGAATATTGTTTATTTTTGTTGAATTTCTCACTGTTGAAGCCTCCATCCCCAATATACATACACACACACACACACAGATGTACACACAAACTCAGATGAGATAGATAGATAGATAGATAGATAGATAGATAGATAGATAGATAGATAGATAGATAGATAGAGATAGGGAGGGAGAGAGAGAGAGAGAGACAGAGACAGAGAGAGACAGAGAGAGACAGAGAGAGAGAGAGAGATGATAGCTATAGAGAGAGATATTCCCACGGACTCTCACAAAACAGTCCAGTCAGGAAAGTCATACTATTATGCCTTAGCATCACCTGTGCTTCCCAAGGAAAGTTCCATCTTGCCAGATTGATAGACTTTTAGGTTCATCTATTGCTTTTGGAACCTTCTGCATGCAATAAGGAAGGTGTTTGTTTTGTCATGCTTTTTCACAACCCCATTTTGAAACCATTGCGCTAGAAAAAGGGAAGATGTGCAACAGCCCTCATTTCTCCTCTTTGCAGCCCCAGGAGCTTCCTGCAAGATAACAAATTTAATCAAAGGGATTGCCAAAAATTGACGGCACAGCCTCTCAACATTTTAGGATGGGAGATGTATGAAAATTGTAATTTTCAATTTAGATTTAACACATAGATTTAACACACATTTGCTTATTTGGCTGATGCCCCCCAATAGTCTTCCCTATACATGTGGGGCACAGTGACTCAGTGGCTAAGATGCTGAGCTTGTCGATCAGAAAAGTCGGCATCTTGGCAGTTCAAATCCCTAGTGCCGTTTAACAGAGTGAGCTCCCATTACTTGTCCCAGCTTCTTCCAACCTAGCAGTTCGAAAGCATGTAAAAATGCAAGTAGAAAAATAGGAACCACCTTTGATGGGAAGGTAACAGGGTTCCATGTGCCTTCGGCGTTTAGTCATACCAACCTCATGACTATGGAGACGTCTTCAGACAGCCCTGGCTCTTCGGCTTTGAAACAAAGATTTGCACCACCCCCTAGAGTCGGGAATGACTAGCACATATGTGCGAGAGGAAACTTTATATTTAACTTTATGCATGTGGGATAGTCCTACATATCCAGTAATCCTTTCAGTACTGGGCAAAGGTGTGTGGTCTCCGGCCAGCAAAAGGTTTCTCCGCTCTTTCAAAAATAATTAGGATGTTTTTAAGAAAAAGAAAAGGGACCAACTGGGGTTAAAGGCATTCTATTGAATGGAAGTTGCTAGAAAATGTGGCATTTGCACAAAGATTTTACAAACCACCTCCACCTTTTGAGGAACTTCTTTGTCTTGTTGATTGTTCAGTGAAGGACAGAAAGTGGATTTGAATTCACATATCTCACATAAACAATTGTAGATTATTTTTAAGGTTTGTAGCTGTGATAGTTTTGTCTATATACATATATATGTGTGTGTATACATACATAGATAGATAGATAGATAGATAGATAGATAGATAGATAGATAGATAGATAGATAGATAGATAGATAG